TCTTATCTATTCGCTTCTTTTTATACCATCGTTTGTTCGAATGTCTATTACATTCCTGATGATGCCAACTGAAAGCTGCCGAAAGCTCGAATAAAGTATTTTCAAGACTGAAAGTCATGTTATTCATAGCAGTTCTATATTCGATTTACAAATATATATATATGTATGATACCTATCATACAAATCTCTCTTATGGCACATTTTTAATATGTGCCATAACAGGATTGAAAAAATTCGAATTTTAAAGATGTAGCGATAGTTCACATGACATCTATGATCATGAACAAGATATTTTTTATTATACAAGAAAAGTATTCTCATTTTATGATTGATAAGTCTCTGAGATAGACACAAAAACGATGTTCTTGTTCTTTTAACTATTCCTAAAGAAATATGCATTTGATGATTTTTCTTTGTATGTTTTTCTTGTTGTAGAATGCATGCTCAAAGTGTTATCACCGATCAATTATGGGAGAGATTGCATCCTGGAATTGAAGAAGCCCTGTCTTCGCCGTATTTACCTTCACACAGATGGATGCAGCTTTACAAGTAGTTTGTGTTTTCTTTTTCATTTAGCATTGTATTTCTACTGTTCATTAATTTCTTCAAAATAGTCATATGTACAATCATTGCACTCGTTCAACGACTTATGATAATCAAATTTTGTATGATAAATTAAGAAGTTGTTTCACAAATTACTTAGAAAGTATTTTGCGCGTAAGTATGTTTAAAATACCTGTATTATATGAAACCCTACTCATGTATGGCATGTAGAAACGAAGAATATTAAACATTACGACTAGTAGTTTTTAAGGACCTTACTCGACATGTGTTATTATCCTTGTGCTTCTGGAATAGCTCAAATTGATCTTACTTTAAAACGAAATACCAGTATGGTGTAACAGAGTCCAGTTTTTGATTTTTACTAACTACTTTCAAAAGAAATTCACTAAGACGAAAGTATATGTAACATGTCACCATTTTTTTATCTCAAACTTCGTTTATTTAAAATCCCAAGCATTTTGGGGAGAAAGTAAGGTCGCTGTCTGATAATAGGGGCAAAAATTCGATTCTCTTTCTAAGATTACCGACGGAACTTAGTTTTTACAGCAAAAGTTCTTTAACCCTTTGGTTACCGACGACGCATATATGCGTCATGAGCTTTATAATTGCCTAAAACTAACACCATCATCGATGGTGTATATTTTTTAGATTCGTTTGAGTAAAACGAAGCGTCAGGGCGATGGGGCTTATGATATCATCATTTTATTATGGTTCAATCTAAGTCAAGTCTCACAAAAAAGGAGCAATCAGTTATTCTGCACATGGTTATTTTTCTTTTTTTATCTTTTAATCTATGAAGTCACACACGCCATAGATGCTTCTTTTCTTCTTGTACATTCAGACTATTCCAGTACATTTTTTCCTTCTATTCATTCTTCTCTCCTTTTCATTCGGGTTATACGAAATAGACGTGAATAAGTGGCTAAAGAGAACTTGTTTTCAATAAGTTTAGATACTTGTTTTTCGGCTCAATTTTCTGCCTGTGACTTGTTTTAAGTGTCTCCTGATGATTTAAGCCAAATTGGACGAAAAATGATCGAATTAAAAAACTTTTAATCTACTATGGTCAAAGGCTAAAAATCGAATTTTCAAATTATTTTATTTTCTGATTGTATTTTCGTTTCCACATTGAAACAAACATTGCGACGGTAATCAGCTTGATCGATTACCTATATAAAATGTACTATTAGGGTTTTTACCCCGGCGAAAGTATGGATTTTGGTGCTTTCGGCAAAACCGCTTGATCTCCAGAACCACTGATTTCAAGAGCTCGCTTGACCATCCATACGCACTGTATTTTGGGATGAATAGGAGTTTTTGCGCTGGTTTTTTTCAGATCGTTCATGAATTAAATGGTGACGCTACATTCCAGTATTATGTCAAACAATGGAACAACTATCTGAGGTCTATGCGTTGTATTGGGGGTATCTGCAGTTATTTTAATACACATTGGGTTAGGCAGCAGTTTGAGAATGGACGACGAGATATTTATGAAATAAAATCAGTAAGATATTTCCCTGCTTTATCACAAAAGAATTTGTCTAAAAGAATTTGGATTTTTTCAGTTAGGTTTAATATTATGGGACAATATATTGTTTAAACCATTAAATAAACGATTAACATGTATTTGTCTTGATTTAATAAAACGTGAAAGAAATAATGAATTGATTGATAGTCAACTAATCGGAGATATGCAAAATTACCGTTACCGTAAGAAAAAATCATTGAAAAGACCAGAGAGGCATTTTAAAGATTATACTGGGTTGGTTTTTTAACTAGAAAAGCTTTCGTTTTTACATAGTTCAACGTAGTTCCATCGATGAATTGATGACAGATAGTCAAGAAATAGAAATAAATAATACATTCAAACTGATGAATGATTCTATGGCAAATATTCAAGTTCCGATACTGAATACTCATCAAAAAACATTTGAACAAGGTTATTTATCTGATACTGAAACTTTCTGTCGATCTGAATCAATAGATTATCTTAAAGATAACCATATTGCTGATTACTTGAAAAAGGTAAACGATTAATTTTCATCAGTTTTCCTTTCTAAATAAATAATTTTATTTTCGATTTATTTCATAGGTCGATAGTCGTTTAAAGGAAGAAATACATCGTGGACAATTGTATTTACACAAGTCAACGTTACCGGATTTAATTGCTATATGTGAAAATGTTTTAATAAAAGAACATTTAGATGATATTTATGACCGATGGAAACCATTATTATCAAATGAAAATCATGAAGGTATAGAACATCAGGTCAAGAAAATACAACTTATTCCAACTACAGTACATAAGTGTAAAATAAGCGAATGGTCATGAGTTCAGTTTACAGCGCCTAGTTTTTAGAGATTTATAGAAAAGTCGATGCTTTTCAGTTAACTTTCATCCTGATTCTGAGGACATAGGCAGTGGGTATTATCGATCCTTGTAATAAACATCGTAGAAACAACGATTTTTTTTCCCGAGGTTTATCTAAATGAAAATTGCGTCTAGTTTAAAAACATGCTTCATTGCTCTCATGTCACGCTATGCTGCGACTTTAACGTTTCGTCATCTCCAACAAGTTTTTACTCAGAAAAACCTACTAATCGCATATAATTCAATGCAGTTTTTTGCACTGATTCCGAATATCACGTTATTTTTAAAACACAAGTGACCCTGTCCCGAGTAAATCCCAAAATCCCTCAAAATCCGAGAGGTTTTTCAAAATTCTGTATCTAAGTCTAGAAGATAAATTATGTAAAGTTGCATGCATAGTAGGTGTGGAAAATATAGACGAACATTTTCATCTAATCTAATTTGATGCCCGATTGGACCTGTGCGAACCTGTGTGTTTTTATTGCACTCTAGACGTCTATCAGAATACTGTTTCGTTTGGAAAAAGATCAATTTTCTCAATAGCAAAAAAAACTATAGCTAAGACAGTGTAGATTCCGAATATCTACACCTGACACTTTTACACGAAGTCTAAATAGAAAGAAATTTCTACCGGTGAGAGGAGCTGTTAAGCCGTGATTTTTCCACTTTTGATTTTTTCCGAAAATTCACCAGCTGGTACGCTTTTCACCATCAGATAGCCCGCACCGAAGTGTACTCCAGGCTATTTGAATTTCGAAAAAGCTCACCTTCGATTTTTCTCTAAATGTCCGCCCGGATGCACACTGTGCGATACGAGGTTCATTCGCACTTTTTTATTTTGCATCTGGGTGAACAATATGAAGTATTTAAGTGAGAACTACGAGTCCATCAACATTAATCATGATTCCACTCTTTTGTAGAACAAGAGAGAACGTTTTCTTTGAACATCCGATCACAAATGAATATCATAAAACCAAAATTTTTTTAATTTTTGTGGATCAATTCGAATTTCATATAATATAGTGGGGTGTGATGACTCAAGTTTCATCATTTTTTCATATTTCATATTTTTCTCTGAATATGTACAGAACAACAGAAGGTTATGAGATTTATAGCACATCCCTCTGTTGTAATATTCTTTGACTAACTATTTCATTCCATATATCGCAACTACAGTATATTCGAGAAAAAATTTTGTATTACATTTTTCAATGAACGATTTTTATTTCAATGTTAAAAATATTTGTAATGTTATTGTCCTGTAATAGCCGAACCTAAAAATATGTCAGTTGAAATACCCATCTCAAGTATGTATACTCAACTGGATAAAAAAAAATAAGGTTTTTTTATTCATTTTAGATTTAATTCGTTTATTTAAGTATGTTGGACGAATATCAAATGAAAACCGCTTTAAGTCTGAAACAGAAAATTATATTTGTCAACAAGGTTTAGAATCGATTCAAAAAATCAGTAAACAAGTAAGAATAATTAAAATCAAAGTTTTATGTAGTTCATTGTGACCTAGTCAGTTGTTCACTAGCCGACAAACAAATTTTTGTTTTTCATTGGTAAAAACATTAACCTGCAATTAATTTAGGCTTATTTTTCGAGTGCTGCATTTAGCAAACGTACTGCGGCTACTAACAGTTTCGGACTAGCCTGAGTCAGTTCCTATCAGTGATAATACTCGGACAAGAATTTACCGTCGTATTATTATGTCAGTACTTTATGGTATATTTTTGTAAATGAGAAAATGTCCCAGACATTAGTTCATTTGGTCGCAATATTTTAATCAAATCTTATTATAACCTTACCAAACTAAAATTTTTAAATATTAACAATATCTTAACGAAATATTAATAAGGTCTTAATAATGGACGATCAATTTGTTTCTTGACAATTCGGCTCTTTTGTCAAAAGTATAGGTTTTCTATAAGGTATCGAGTATTTCGTGACTGATTCTCGCGACTTAATAACCAGCATCAGCAGGCATAGTACTGTGTGATATACGATAACCATCAGCTGATTTCACTTGATATTAGCAAGAATTCAATCGTCAAAGGTCTACGGTCAGCTTACATGTCCATACACGGAATCAGCTTCATCGATTACATATATTGAACATCTTTGTTCATTAGGCTACGTTCAAGCAAAAGTTTCCTTTCATCCACAGAAAACCTATACTTTTCACCCAGGAGATGAATCATCCGTTTTATGTGAATAGACGGTGTATCCGCGAACGAATTGACCTAGTACCGGTCTGAACGATTTTAAAGATGTTATGAAATCATCGGTGGCATGAGTGTAAAAGGAAGGGACCGCATAAGGTTAAGAATCGACCCACTCTCTTTTGTGACCAAAAATGGCTCCGAATGTACTAAAACAGTGCCTTTATTCGATTTTGGGTAAAAAATCACATACTTTTGTCCATTAAAATCCAGTTAATTCCTGTACAATAGCATCCCAATAAGCATCGTCAAAACAAGCCCTGTATGATAAGTAAAACACATTTTCTTCAACCATCTTACACTTATGCGGCTAACAAAATGCACCATTAGATAGCCCGTGAAATTCTCTACAAACACAGCTTGTCAAAATATCTGGACTGGCAGGACCAGTCATCACAGACATACAAAAGAAGCATTGGAGTTCAGAAAACAACTTGAAAAGACTTCTTTCATAATTTTTTCTATCAAAATAAAAAATTAGACTGGTTTGATGCTTTCAGCGTTACTATAAAGAAATCCAAATCGAATGATATTGATAATCCTTCATCATTGGCTCGACGTTCCGTACCCGCAACAATAATACACTAATATACTAAGTCCTCAAAATGACTTAAACAGAGAAAGAGTAACTATATTTTCACATTCATTGTCCTTAGACACTAACCTTTTCCAAACCATTTATGTTGTAATAGTCTGTATCAGCCAATGATGAAGGATTATCAATATCATTCGATTTGGATTTCTTTATAGTA